CAACACACAAAAATCAGTAATGTTCCTGTACACTAATAATGAACTCACCAAGAAAAAAACTAGGAAAACAATACCAGCTTATACTCTTTTTTTTTTTTTTTTTTTTAGTACCAGGGATCAAACTTAGGACCTTGTGCTTGTGAGGCAGGCACAGCGCCACTGAGCTAAATCCCTGACCCTAAGGAAAACAATACCATTCACAATAGTTCCAAGAAAAGTTAAATATAGATCTTAGGAATTAACCTAGCAAAGGAAGTGAAAGACCTGTATAATGAAAACTATACTACTCTGAAAAAGAGATCAAAGAGGACATCAGAAAATGGAAAGATACACCCTGTTCCTAGATAGAACAAATATTCTCAAAATGGCCATACTTCCAAAACTGATATACCGATTTAATATAATTCCAAATCAAAATACCCACGGCATTCCTCACAAAACTAAAGAACAACAATCCTAAAATTCATATGGAAACAGAAGAGATTCAAAATAGTAAAAGCATTCCTGGGCAACGAGAGCAAAGCTGAAAGTATCTCAATCCCAACTTTCAAGTTATATTACAAAGCTACAGTGTAAAAACAGAATGGTACTGGCAAAAACAAAATTATGTTTATCAATGGAACAACATAGAAGGTGCAGAAACAACCCCAGGCACATTCAGCTATCTAATCTCTGACAAAGGGGCTAAAAACATGCTGGAAGAAAGACAACCTCTTTAACAAATGGTGCTGGGAAACCTGGATATCCACATGTAGAAAACTGAATCTAGACTCATATCTCTCACCATGTACTAAATTAAAATTAAAGCGGGTCAAAGATCTAAATGTTAAAACAGAAATGCTTAATCTGGTGAGAGATAAAATAGGTAAAACTCTTGAAGATACAGGCATAGGCCAGGACTTTCTTAACAGAACTCCTATTACACAAGAAATAAAATCAAATGAGATTTTATCAAATTAAAAACTTCTATACAGCAAAAGAAACAACCAACAGAGTGAAGAGACAACTTATAGAATAGGAAAAATATTTGCTAGCTGTTCCTCAGACAGAAGACTAATATCTAGAATATATAAAGAACACAGAAAATTAGACCTCCCCCATAGACACTTCTCAGAAGTATAAAAGGCCAATAAATATATGGAAAAAAAGGTCAACATAGCTGGTCATTAGCCATTAAAGAAATGTAAATTAAAACAATACTAAGGATCCATCTTACTCCAGAAAGAGATAGGTGTAGTGGCACATGCCTATAATCCCAGCACTCAGGATTGTTAACAGTTTGAGGTCAACCAGAAAGAATGGCTATCATCAAAAAATCAAATAATACAGGGCCAGGGATTTAGCTCTGTGGTTTCGCCAAATGCTTCGCAAGTGCAAGGACCTGAGTTCAATCCCCAGTACAAAAAAAAAAAAAAAGAAATCAAATAATACAAATGCTAGTGAGGCTACAGGGAAAAAAGGAACACTTCTACATTATTGGTGGGACTGTAAATTAGTACAAGCACTATGAAAATCTGTACGAAGATTCCTTTAAAATCCAAAGATAGAAATTCCATTCAACGCAGCTATTCCCCTTCTAAATGTCTTCCCAGAAGCTAAAGACATATTACAATGATACATGCATACTTACATTGCAGCAGCACAACTCACAATGGCTGAATCTTAGAATCAGTCTACATGTCCATCAACAGATGAATGGATAAAGAAAATGTGGAACTTGTATACAATGGAGTACTATTCTGCCATAAAGCATAAATTTGAATCATTGGCAGGAAAATGAATGCACCTTGAGACCATGATGTTAAGTGGAATAAATTAGACACGCAAGCATAAATATCACACGCTTTCTCTTTTATGAGAAACCCAAAATATAAGAGCAAACTAATGATAATAGGAAACACAGAGGCACATCATTTATAAGTAAAGAGCAAAATAAATAGTAATAGGAAACAGAGAGGCACAGTTTTTGCAAATGGCAAGGGGATGAAAAGATTGAGGGAGATGTAGGGAGGGAAAGGGAATTAAGATGTGTTATGTACGTGCACCAACTCCTCATGATGAATGCAATCATGTATTGTAAACATGTACTAATAAAAATTAAAATTCAAAAGAGACTATTAAAAGGAAATATACTTAATAGTCAAGATTTAATAAAAGTTGGCCAGGGATTTAGCTCAGTGGTTTCACCACCTGCTGTGCAAGCGCAAGGATCCAAGTTTGATTCCCAGTACCAAAAAAAAAAAGATTTAATAAAAGTAATAAATTATATTGTTTCATCAAGTGAACGTTCTAAAGTGAACTGGCTTTTTTTCCACTATGAGTTCATGATTATCAACAATACAATGACTATTAGTACAATATAGTATTGGCAATACTGCTTCAATTTGTGCTTAAGTACCAAGGGTTTTACCCACTATTGCTTTTGTACCATCAGTGCAAATATCAACACAATGTATATGCATGTTACATCATGGTACTGTCATAAAAGTACATCTGACATCACAGACTCCTTAAAGGGGTCTTAGTAAAACTCAGAGATTCTGGCACCACATTTAAGAACTACTGTTCTAGGAGCTTTAGTGTTTTACATTTCATAATTAGGTTTATTATCTACCTCAAAATAATTTTTTGTGTATAACGTAAGGTTGGGGTCTTAGGACTCTCCCCTCCTCTATGTCCAGTTACTTCAACACAATTTACTGAAAGACCATCTTTTATTCACTAAAATTGGTACCTCTTGTCATAAATTCAGTGATTATAGATGTGTAATCTGTTTCACCTTGGTTTACTATGAGCCAATATCACATTGTTTTAATTAATGAAAAATTTATAGCAATATTTTGGTAATTTGAAATTTCAATTTTGCTATTGTCTTTTTTTCTGTCTTTTTTTTTTTCAGTATTGTGGATTGAAACTAGGACCTTTATGCTGAGTTACATCTCCAGCTCCTTTTGATATTTTTGAGACAGAGTGTTGCTAAGTGCCCAGGCTGGGCTCAACTTGCTATTCTCCTGCCTCTACCTGCCAGAGTGCTGTAATTACAGGTGTGCAGCACCATGACCAGTTTCTAATTTTATTTTTTGAGATAGTGTAGAATATTCTAGTACTTTTTATAGTTATTTTTAATTACATAAATTTTAGAATGTTTGTAAATTTCCAAACAAAATGAATCCCACAGTAATTGAATTGCAATTGCATCAATTTATAGATAAATTTGAGGGAAATTGACATCATAATGACAATCTAAGTATTGAGTTTTAATCTGAACTCCTATGTAGTACAAGAAAAATATTTGGAACTTTTCCTACAGCGCATGTGGGAATAAATGACAATTGTGGTTCTGATTTTAACTTTGTAATATATTAATTAGTATGTATTTCATGCATTTATAAATCAGAGGCCAGGGAGAAATTAGATCAACACCTGAGTACCTGCTACCCAGTGCAACGGAACATATTCCTCCTCCTTCATATCATTCTCTATTCTTTCCTAAGTATCCATTATTCTGAATTGTGGATTTATTACTCCCTTAACTTATCGTTTTTACCACAATAAAAGGCCATCTCTAAATAATAAATTGACTTATAGCCATTCAGGCTTTATATATTATATTGTACAAGTAGCCTCTTGGTTTCCCCCCTCAGAAGTTATTGTGAGTTTTAACTAAGTTCATGTGGGTAGCTACAGTGAAAGATCTTTTATCTCAAAGTTCTGTGCTTAAGAGGCCAGGGATTTAGCTCAGTGGCTCTGCTGCCTGCCTTGTAACCTCAAGGATCTGAGTTTGATTCCCGGAACCAAAAAAAAAAAAAAAAAGTTCTGTGCTTTAGTTTCCTCTACTATAAAACACACAAAGGAAAGTTTAATCTGGATAATCTCTAAATTGTCTTCTAGATGTGAACTTCTAATTTTACTTTTTATAAAGAGTACAGACATGTATAGTTTGGTCTAACAATATATGGTATACCTTGGTTTGCAAGCATAGTTCATTCTGGAAACATGCTTGTAATCTAAAGCACTTGTATATTAAAGCAAATTCCTCCATAAGAAATAATGGAAACTCAGATGATTTGTTCCACAATCCAAAAATATTCATATAAAAATGATTTAATACTGTTAGTATAATACAAAATGATAAAGTACAAAACGTAAAGAAAAATTAACTTGTGCTTACCTTTGAAAACTTTTGTGGCTGATGAGAGGAGGGTTATTGTACAGGACAACTTTTGCTAACAGATTCATTACTATCTATTGGCTCAATCTTTTTCTTTTCATGCAACTTTAACAAGGAAGCTATGTTTTTGCCACCTTTTGTGGATTTCATGGAAATGTGACATTGCATTGTCATTAAACACATTTAGCTCACCCACTTCTACAGCCTTATTCAGATGGTGCTTTTCTATAAAACTGTGCACTGTTTCCCACATTTTACACATCTCTCTAATTTCATTTGAAGTGAGGGATTCCTCTGCCTTTTTCTTCTCCTCTCCAGACGAGATTTCCTCCACAAGCTCTGGCTGTTGGGAGATGATCACCCACAATTCCACAGCAAGGAGGGGGACACAGAGAGAGACAGAGACAGACAAAAAGAGGGAGAGACAAAGAAAGAGAGGAAGGGGCCAGGGATTTAGCTCAGTGGTTTCGCCACCTCCTGCGCAAGCACAAGGACTGGAGTTCGATCCCCAGTACCAAAAAAATAAAAATAAAAGAGGAAGAACCACTGGCTCAGTTGTGATCATATGATGTTCAGTGTCATGTAGTATTTGTTTAGAAATGTTTGCTTATCTTGCAGAATACTCACAGAACAAGTTACTCACAATCCCAGGTTTTACTGTAGTTCTGATCATAATTATGATTTGAGATCAACTGATTAGGAACACAAACTATGCAAATGTGTCACAGGATTGTCAGAAGTGTGACAAAATTTTTAAATTTCTTCAATGATACTTCATTATGCACAAATAGGTTTGAACTGGCATATACAATGATCAGGAAAGAAACAATTCACAATGCAAAAAGCTGCAAAGTTTATTTTCTTAAATAAAATACTATATTCATATCTATACAAATAATTATTACAACCATTAAAATGTTACATTTAACAATAAAAATTTCAAAACTTTAAACAAGAGCATGGTTCAGAATATTCACACCCTAATACAACGCATTTGTAAAAAGATGTCAAAATAAACAGGACCTATTCTTATTTACAACTGTAGGACAATCCTGATCATATTATACATATCTTTTCTGAATTCCATTACAAAACAAATTCGTTTCCATTAGAATTATAAACCAGGTGATTTACAGTAATAGGAGACAGTACACAGCAGACCTTGCTGGCACGATACTAGATACAAATATTATACTGTTGAAGCAGTAAAATTAGTTTTTTCTTAGTGACTGCCTTACAGTAAGCTTCTCACCCAGTATATCTATGAATAATTTGTGAAGGTAATTATGCTCTCAGATTTTTTAACCCTTTTTATTTACCAAAATGAAAATATAGATATAGATATAGATATATAACCTGCTGAAAGTGGAAGCAAATCTTTTCTTCACAGTAACTCAACTGCAGCATCTCAAGCAACACTGTCTGGTCCCTTTCTTCTTGGAAGATCAACAGTTCAACTCCCCATAAAGTTTACCACGATAGTCAAGTTCAGCGTCTCAGTGACCGCACAGATGAAAATGGTTTTTTAAGACTTCAGGGTGGGAGGGCAGAGAGGTCTTAGAAAAGTGAAGAAGGGATTTAAGCAGATCAGACATTAAGTTCCTATGCTATAGTATGGTGTATCGCTGTACACATAAAGGACCCAAAAAATTAAAGATCATCTTTTTAAAAAATGTATTACATTACAAATGAAGTTGTCTTCTATCTCACAGAATCTCTATGACAGATTATGCAGTCATCCCAAATAACACCAGTTTGGAATTATGTCCAATATTTTCAACCTGACTCATGATTATGAAGGATCTGACCACATACATGTGCAAGAAAAAGATTACAGTAGATAGTTTATACAAATCTAGAAATAAAGATGCTAAATGACCACCACATACAGGCTTTGTATTTAAAGGAGTTTTGCTACTAACTAGTTTTTTTTTTTTTTTTTAACAAGATCAGCTTCAAAGATGGCTCAGAGAATGATAAGGCAACAGTGAGAAACATCAACTGTACTTGTCTTCTAGGTGTTTGATTACACAGCATGTACCAGCCCAGTTGGTCCTTTACTATAACAGAGGAGTGGGCAAGTGATATGCTCCAGCATCTGGTCTAGAGGCACAGATTCAGTTAAAGTGCAGTACCAGGACAGATGCATGGGGACAGAACTAGAAGGTCTGCATCCAACAAGGTCCTCAATGTCCCCTACCCCTAGAGTATCTGGACTGCCTCATTCTAAACTTGGTGGTCTCCACAGGCTCTAATAGAAACTCTCTAGGTTTCACTCTAGTAGAAACCCAACACAGGAAGAGTAGAATGCAGAGTATAGTTAAGTAAAAAAGAAGGACCCTTTTCTGTACAACTTTGGGAAAGGAAAAATGGTAACATTCAGCAAAAAGGCATCTCAAGAAGAAACTAACTTCTGCCTTTAATTGCATATCAGTATCATAAAACCATCACTCAGCGATTACTCCAGTATAATCTATGTATCTAGCCGTTGGCTATTATTATTGCCTCTGGTAGGTCCACTACCTCCAGGCACAGGCAGCATTTGTCTAGATAACAGAACTGCAAAGATTTCCAGGCTCCTAAGGATATCAACCCAAAGCCATTCATTTTGGCACCACCTTTGCCCTTTGTTCATTGCACCATAGGGGGAAAAAACAAGTCCATCAAACCAAGGAACAGAGCCATATGGCACACAGACATATTTTAGATAAATTTTGAACTAATTCTTTTTGCAAATATGTTGTTGCTCTTGAAACCATAGTGGTTCCAAAGTCAGAAATTGGGAATCACTGATTTGAGAGTATGATTCACTACCACACACAAACAGATGTTAGGCCCAATAAATGTTTCAAGACAAAGGAGTAATTATTCTGTTAAGGAAATGATCAGGCTCCCTGTCACCTACTTGGCACAGAGATGGAAGAAAATAAGAGCCTATGTACTTATACATCAGGGGAAGAATAAAGCTGAGAAAATGTGTATTTGTAAGTCTTTACCATTTCTTAAGACTTTAAACTGTGGGGCCAGGGATTTAGCTCAGTGGTTTCACCGCCTGCTGCGCAAGCACAAGGACCTGAGTTCAATCCCCGGTACCAAAAAAAAAACATTTTAAACTTTACTCCCACTAAAATGTACTGCCACATTTTTGGAGTGGAAATAAGTTTTAACCTCTCCATAAAAGGTCTAATATTAGAATATTTCCATTTCCACAGTTCAGTTAAATTTTACAAATCATGATCACTGGAAATCTCAGGCCTCCCTTAGAAAAAAGATGCTACCTCTGCTAGCCTAAAAGTTCTTACAGTAAAAAAAAAAATAATTTCCTGCAGTGATATAAAACATGTGACATGCCAAAGCAACCTGTATTTTCAAAAAATCAAAATGGGTTTATTTCATCTATGACTGACATATTTAACAAATTCATTGACAAAGTCAATACATGAAAAGAAATCTGAAATTTTTCATTTCATTAGAACTTACTGTTGGGCTGGGGATTTAGCTCAGTGGCACCGTGCCTGCCTCACAGGTGCAAAGTCCTGAGATCGATCCCCGGTACCACAAAAATAAAAAACTTACTGTTAAAGTTGAAAGGAATCAGTGACTTTCCATAACTGAATCTGTGATCAATAATGCTAAAAGAGAAATTATTTAATCAGTGACTCTCACTTATGACTCAGACGTGTGTTTCAGTAAGTTACAAAATTATTTGTGGGGATGACTTAACTTTATATAGCCATGTTAGCAAGACAAAAATAATATTAAATTTATTATAAGCAAAACTGACTGCATTTTCTGCCATTCCTTTACCAAATATTATGTCCAGATATTACAAGGTAGTAAATAACAAATTTCTTCCCTGCAAATCATGTAGCTCTAATTTTAACTTAATACTGCTAGTAACTGCTTATGCTTTTAAATCAAATAAGAGTACTATTGTGTGAACACTTTCAGAATTGAGCCTATTTATGAAATGATCTGTAACATATGTATGCATTATGTCTATAAGGTAGAGGTACATATAAGCAGAAGCCTAATTATTTGCAGATGGCCACATCTCTCTTTAGGTGCTCAAATAAGCCTTGCTGAGATTCATTCAATATCAAAGTGTTATATTCTTGGAATGAAAATTCTTTGAAAATGCAAATGCTATCTCTGGAACACAGCTAAGCAGTAAAATGGAATCTATGCAAAAGGAAGACCTATGTAACCCAATATTCAAACTGAGCTTCTCAGTCAAGCATGGTGGAGCATGCCTATGGTCCTAGCTACTCAGAAGCCTGAGGCAGGATGATTATCAGCCCAAGAGTTTGAGACCAGCTTGGGCAACACAGTCAGACCCTGTCTCAAAAAAAGAAAAAAAAAATTTTAAATCTTCTTAGCCAATACCTTAACTCCAACTATATCTAGCAGTCTTCAGTTCTTCAGAACTCAATAGCCACTGTGATATGTGGGTGTGTGAGGCAGAGAAAGAGAATGAGAAGGGAGAGGGAGAATGAATAGCCAAACTCAAGGAAAACTGCCCCCCCCAAAACTGGGAGATTGGACCTTTCAAGTACAAATTGAAATCTTAATATTAAAGCTTAAAACTCAGAGAATTAAAAAAGCAAGTCATGAGTTTTGCTTTTTATCCTCAATAGAAAGTTTTTAACTGCTGTGTTTATCCACATCTTAAGAAACTTACTCAAGAAGCTCCTGTTCTTCTTTAAGACTTTTTTGAAGGGAGACAACATAGGTTTTCTTTTGTTTACACTGTTTTGTTTTGCCCCCAGGGAGACTGCTTTAGTTGGCAGCAGAAGCAGATAGGAATGTTTGGTGAGAACAGTTAAAGAGGCACAAGCGACCCTTTCACTGAGTCTTTAGAAGAGGTATTCATTGGAGGTAACTGCTCTGACCAGGCCATAGGAGGCTTCCCTAGGATGGAAAAAACATTTTGGGCCGTGGGCTCACTCTTTTAACATAATAGACAGGACAATTTATATGCATCCCTCCCACTTCATCTGATTTTTGGCAGAATAAAACAATAAAAAGTCAGGTTCAACAGGTTTAAGAAAATGAGTACGTATACAACAGTTGTTCTCTTAAGTTTTCAAAATTCAATATAAGTGTTTTTCAATTTATTATTAACTTCAGAGTGGTTTTAAAAAACTCCACCCACATCAAGTTTTTCTGTTTTTAGCAGTTTTCAATTTCCAATTTTCAGATGGTGGGCCTATTTTTTTTCAAATTTATTTATTTTTAGTTGACAGAAAATTCTATGTATTTATCATGTATAACATATTCTGAAATATTTATACATTGTGGACTAGTAGGGACCAATTTATACTTTAAAATCTGTTTTCATAAATACTCTCACACATTCACATACCCACAGGACATATATACTTTTTTGAAGCACCATTTCACATCTACCATTAAGAAAAATAACAAACAAATTCATCTTCTTATTGTAATTCTGTTACAAAGGGTAATAATGCAATATACAATGCCATATTTAAAATATAAATATCAGTAAATGAAAATACTGAGGGCTTAAACTCTGTTCAAAAATATCTTAAAAGTAAGGCTCAAATAAATGCGTAGATTCTAAACACATTATTTACTGATGGAAAAGAAGGAATACTAAACCAAACTCAATTGAGGGCTGGAGATGTAGGTCAGTGCTACAGTGCTTGCCTAGCATAAGTTCAACTTCCAGCATCAGGAAAAAAACAAAACAAAACAAAAAAACTCACTAAAAAACTCAACTGGTGAAACACTCTTACTAATTAAACTCATGAAAAACTCTACAGTTTAACTACTTTTATCCTTATGGCCTGATGCAAACTGCAAGTACAAAAATGAAAAATATTTATGTACTTTACTTTCAGGTCTATTTTTAAGGCTAATTATCCAAGGAAGACTTTTGCTTTAGAGGATCTTGGCACATTCAAGGATAATGTGATTCTCTACTTTGAAGAACAATTCATGGAATTCAGATATTTTATGAAAATTATAATTAAGAAAGAATCCTCTATCTTAACTAACCCTGGGGAATGAAAGCTGACTAAACAATCCATTTATTTGCCAAATGCTTGGCTCTAGCAAAGACATTCAATTTGACATCAATTCAACACCAATCATGGAGTAAAAAATTGTTTTAGATGTTGACATCAGCCAGCATCTCATTATGAATCATTGTGTTTCATCCAAGTTCCCCATATTTTTGGACAGCAACTCAACTACCTCAAGCATTTTTAAAATTATCAATAATCAAGTTTCAGATCTCAGCCCCTTCATTCTATCCAGCACATGCCAAGATGATCTCCCTTAACCTCCAGTTGGTTAGTATTCAGAGACTATAAAATTACAAATCAAACATGGAAATCTACTTTAAAGATAAAAAAGCACACAGTGCAGTTAAAAATGAAAGATAACTTTGTTATCTTGCTTTTGACAATCCAGCATCATCTCTGACATGGCCTCCCTAGCATTCAGAAGATCACTGAAAATTGATTATATAAACACAAAGAGAAAAAAACCACAAAGACACACACACACACACACACACATAATCCCTCTCTTTGTGTACAGATAAGCATGTGAGCATGCACAAGTACATTTGTAACCTCACCCTATACCTTTACATTTACTTTATCTGTTTACACAGCTGAACTGCAATCATGCCCTAAAATATGGCTTATGTTATGGGCAGGTCTGTTTGAGGACTGCTTGGAAGAGTCAGAGGCAGAAGAGTTTGCTATTGTAAGCAAAGGTGACATTGCTGAGCCATCAGGAAGAGCTGTTGCTATTTCTGGAAACAAGGATGTCATATTAAAATTAGATAAGTGAGAGTTGGTCATGTGCATTGGTGGCATATCAGGAAGAAGAGGAAAACTTGGCTGAGCAAAGCCAACAGGTCTGGGAGGAGATAAAATGGATCCAAATCGGTTATTTAAACTTCCACTGTTTACTTTCTCTGTGGTAGGATTTGAGAACATTTGGTTAGAAAAGTAGGGGATTGAAATATCATTGGACAGTGTAGGATGAGCAGGAGAATATGGGGGATAGAAGGAGGGCAGAGTATTTTGGGGATCAACTGGAATGAGGGCTGGAGCTCGAGTGGCACTAGGCTGAGTGACCTGTGGAATGAAAGAAGTATTAGCATTTATTGGTGGGTTCATGCCACCCTCAGGAATAAAAGGAAAACCAAAATTTTGTGATAATGAGTGCTGGTCAGGACCTGAATTATCATTAGGAACTTGTGGACTGTCAGGCATGAAACGAACAATACTTCCTCTCTTCTCTGTAGCAGGTTGTTGACGTCCAAGAATCATACTGCCACTAGTAGAGAGAGGAAGATGGGGAAGACTTGGATCAAAGACATTACTATGTCTTTGGTTTCCAGAACGATTTCTTTCAGGTTGACGAATTTTGGAGCTACCACTGTCTTGCAAGGGATGTCTTGACCTCTGGGAAACTGAAGTATTAGCCTGACGTACAGGAGGCCCTTGGTCAGCATTTCCATGAGACACAGATGGGTGTGGCAGAGCTGGCCTTGCAACCCCATGCATGTTTGTTGTGACAGGAGGGTTCATGTGGCCTTTGGTCCCATGACTATCAGTAATCCTCATGGGATTGGACTTCTGTACAGAAACATTGGGACTTGTGTTTCGACCTTGAATATCTCCTGAGGAAGAAGAACTTGAAAAAGGAATATTCAAGGTGCTGTTCCTGGTGTTAATTGCACCTAAAGACATGTCACAACTTTCTCGATTCTGACTCTCACTATCTCTTCTAATATGGACACTTTCATGAGTTGGGGGACAATTATACTCAATTGCAGAGGATGGACCACATTGTGTATTCCTCTGATGTTCTGAAAGTGATCTCTGGCTCCCAATGACCTGATCACCAAGGTGTGGGGCAAGTAAACTCTGCATGAAACTTTGGTGACATGTATTTTCACTGTCCCTTGGTGGGATGGCATTTCCTGCTGGGATACCCTGAACTGGTGGATAAGGTAATCTCTTTTGACGGTCAATTGCTGGTGGCCCATTTTGACTAATTCTGAAAGCCTGGGACTGCATACTCCTCAATGATGATACAGAGTTACCTATTTCATTATTTCTTGAAGACTGTACTTCAAAATTACTCTGGGGCTGTTGACTAGCTCCACTTGGTTTAAATGTCTGACAATCAGAAAGGCGGATATCTGAGGCAACAGTATGGTCTACATGACTCTGCATATTATGAATGGCCAAGCTCTTATTTCTGGGAACATCAAGATAGCTTCTCATTTCAAGCTGATCTGAAACTCTGGAACCTTGAATCAATATACCCATTCTCTGCTCTGAATTAGATGATGTCTTTCCAATGAGTGCCTCAGCCGAGTAACTTGAAACTCGATTTCTCTCTGTCCTGTGTGGAGCACAAGTCATGTCTGAAGATCTAGTCACAATACTTGGTTGGGACACCATTTGCTGCTCTAAGCCTCTTGATGTCAAAAGCCTTTGCATTGGATTATGCCCAGATACATGTTCAGAAGTAACCCCTGAACCTTGTGGTCTGCTTCCAACATCCTGCTGCTGGTGCATAATATCTTGATTAAGATGGTTCTGGGGGTGGCTATGGTGGTTCCGGCTAGCAGAAGGGTTTTCACAGCTCTTCTCTGGCTGGGAACTTCCAAAGTGTTGCTGCATCTGTTGCTGCATCTGTTGGTGATGGGGATGTGGCTGACCACTCTTGGGTCGGGACTGGTCAGTTGCATGGTGCTTTGGTTGTAGGGAAAGCTGAGAGCCCTGAGTGCCCTGAACAAGATTCCTCTTTTTCTGCATCTGAACTTCCTGCTGTAGAGTTCTCTGTTGGTGCACATTATGGGGCTGAGAGTGGACAGCATTCTCTCCATGAGGTACATGATGCTGGAGTTGATATAAATGATGCCTCTCTCTTAACTGCCCTGCTTGCTGTTGTTGCTGCTGCTGCTTAATATAGAGATGGTTACTGTGAAGGTGAGATACCCCTTGAGGGGGAACATGCTGCTGCAGGGCCTGCAGATGCTGACTTGCCGGAGTTTGCTGTTGCTCAGCAACTGAAGGCTGAGAACTACGCTGAACTTCAGTTTGTCTCAATGCAGGAGCCACAAAGTTGTTACCAGCTGGAAACAATCGTGTAAGGCCATCTCCATGTGCTGGATTGCTAACAGGCACAACTGAGTTTGAAGAGTTGGGAGGGATCTGACTAACCATCATCTGAGCTTGGTCAGAAATGTTATCTGGAGTTCGGCTCATCAGGGACATATTTTCAAGCCTGAGGGGGACTGGCTGACAATGCTTTTGACGTTTGGCAGATGACAGTAGAAGATCATCCTGGACAGCACGCTTGGCAGAATCTTTACGGTTTTCATGATTTGGTTTTAAAAGGGGCTCTTGAATCTGTGAATTTGGTATGGTACTAGCCATAGTATTTAGCTGTTCTTGGGAATATTCTGTCATCAGAGATGGTCCAGGAGGCTGGCTGCCATAGGAGCTAGATGAAACAGTCAGATTCACTGTGGTAGGAACAGCTGTTTGGTCAGAAGTTTGGGATAACCCTGCACAGCTGACCAGAGGATGGGTGATGCTGCTCTGGTGGATAAGATTATTCACACTTAAACTGGTGAGGGTCGGTGGCTGGGAAGTAGAAGCCTGCAAGGAGGCATTTGATGTTTTAATTCCTAGAGAACAACTTGGTTTTTCAAGGGGCCTATCTACTGTTATTTCAATTGAATCCTGAGAGTTAAATTCATTTGGTGTTGTTTCTGCCTGTCTTGTGCCATTCTCTTTAGGGTGTGATTTGAAAGGCTGGTCTCCCTCCAAAGATGATGCTTCAGAAGACTTTGAAGTAACCTCCCTTATATCAGCCTGGATACCAACTCTCTCCTTCTCAATGTTCTCCTGGTCAAAAATAGCTCTTGCTGCAAGAGCTACTATATCAGTTTGTTCCACAAAGGTACAGCTGTCACATGTATTAGTTGTACTGCTGGTCACATCTTCTCTAGTTGTTTCAGGAAGCATGGATGCAACTGAGAAGCTACGACTACTGCCAGAGCTGGTTGACATGGGAGAGTCAGCCTGCCTGGTGAGCAGAGAACCATTCATAACCTCCTGATCAGGAAGGCAGGAATGCTGCTGCGGTGGATTTCTGTCTTCGCTGTTCATCAGTAATAGTTCCTGTTTGGGATGTAAATCCACACTGGAATTGACTACTTTCGAATTTTCTGAAGAAAAGTCAGGATGGTCAATTTGGACTGAAAGAGATGATTTCTGAGGGTCTTTTTCTTTAGCAAGATCAGAAAGCAATGTAGTTAAACCTTGCCCCTTTAAGAGACCTGTAGCTTGAATTGTATCTGATGAATCTTGGTCGACCCTGCAAGGTTCTGCAACAATTTCTACCTCAGAAACATAGTCAGTACTTGCAGTGCTTGTGGTAGATGACAAACCAGAAACCTGAGAAGCCAAAACCTGGGGATCACTTGGAGATGGAATTAACACATTGGCTGAAGTGCAGGATTTGGTAGCATCTGACAATGCTAAACTAGTTGGCGGTTTATCCTGAGATGTCTCTTGTTGCAAAATGGGCATAGAATCTTTGGATTTTTCTGGGGCCGCTGCAGAATGTTCACTTGTTACAGATTCTTGGCAGGGTGACACTTCTGCTGACTTAGATTTAGATACAGATTCAGGCATTACTGATTCAGAATTTAGAATATCCAAAGAATGTGAAGCAGAAACACTAACATTATTTGCTTCGGACACAGCAACAGATGGTAGGACAATAGGGAGGCTTTCCAGCAGCCCATCATTACATGGTGACTCTGCTGAGCCTTCAGTTCTGGGGCAGTCTAACTTACCTACTTTGACTGGATTCAGGATACATGCTGGTTTGCTAGCTGCTAAGTGTTTCTTGGCACCTGGCTTCTTATTCAACCTTTTTGACTTCATGGTAGGTGGCAAACAAGCAACAGTGTTTACTGAAGAAGTAGTCACAAAATTATAAGTATTGGGCAATGTGGCTGAATTATCTGTTGTTGTGGAAGGTGCTATAGTTGTTGTTAATGAAACACAGTTAGCTGGGGTGGTTTGACTATTTGTAGCAGTTTGAGGATTGGCAGGCTGGCTAATAGACAGCTGTACACAGCTTTGCCCAGCCATCTGTGATATGCTTTGATTGAGGCTGGCCAAAGCACCAAATGTATTCAGGGCAACATTGGTATTTGGATCTTCGCTGGTGGTTGGTTGAATAATTTGCATAGGGGTTTGATTTGTAGTTCCTGATGAAGACATCACAGGCTGCAAAGCAAAGAGCTGTCCATTTAAAGAAATGGTTTGAGGCTGTTGTTGGTTTGACATGGTCACAGAAAAAGTCTGTGTTGAATTAGATGTTGATAAAGATGAAGGTCTTGGTAATATGTGGACAAGATGCTTTCCTCCAAAAGTCTGTGGAGTGGAAACATTTTGCACTGAATTATTAGAACCTATTATAGCATTGGCTCCATTTACAGGGAGTCGAACAGAACCAGAAGGTGGAGCAGAAAGGAGTGGCAATGGATTCTGATTAGCTGCTTGTATGATGACTATCTGTTGACCCACTGTTTGGTTGGGTACCTCTGCCCTCATCACTGTTGGGCAAGGGGTAGTGCTGGGTGGCTGAAGAATGATAACGTTTTGATTAGCCGAAGCTGCATTAACAGCTGACCCAACTGACTGAGCCATCTGAATCACTTGCATTGCTGAATTCAATGGAAGGATATTTTTTGGAGGTTGAGATTTAACTTGTGGCTGGGAAATTAGTGGCTGCATAGGTAAAGGTGGACAAGAAGGCAAGGTAACAACTACTTGCTCAACTGGTTGTCCATCTGCTGGAAGGGAATTGTTTAAATTGATGCCTGTAGCCACATGTCTACTGTGGTTGCTTGTGGGGGGGCTAGTACTAGACTCACTCAATACTGGAGTCACAGTGGAAGATGGTGTCTGGCTTAAGGGCTGAATAGTGTTTCCTGCCAGTTGCAAAGTAGTCCACGTTGTCTGTGTGTTTCCAGCTGAAGAAATTCGGGTAAGGCTGTTAATGTTTTTCAAATCTGAAGCACTAGCACTTGAAGAAGGCAAAGAACAAGAAAGGGTCCAACCATTGTCCAAAGGATTTGCGGAAAGAGTGCTTACCGGAGTGGTGATCTTCCCTACTGAAGGGGCAGAAGGTGCCACCACTGTGGTTTTATTTGTTGAGTCTGTGCACTTGCTAATGCTCAGTGGAGAAGAATCTCCTGAAGATCTGGGAGGCTGGGAGCAGATTGTGGTGGTAACTGAAACAACAAAGGTGTTTTGAAAATCACCTCTGCAGTTCTGGAGGCTCAAGCAGGACTTGATTCCATGGTGTACTTTAGTGGTAGTTGCTGAGGAGCTGGGGGAGACACTTGTGACACAAGGGGCTGTCTTCTTTAATAATTTGGTGCTGTCTAACCCACTGTTATTTTCAGAAGAATTCTGATCATTCGTACATATGTGTGAGGAAGGATACTGATGAAGTTCAGGACCAACTGATACAGCAATCAGTGAGCCACCAGAGGCACCAAGCACACTTGATTCACTTTCGGAGGTGGAAAGCTCAAGAATATTTTGAGCAGAAATGGCAGCAGGAAGACAAAGAGGAACAGGCTGATTGGCAGCCAAGGCAGAAACTGTGGTCTGATGCCATGGCTTCTTTTCAGAAGGGTAAATTCCAGAAACAGACGCAGGAGTCACAAGATTGCAAGTTCTCTGTACTGGCACCACATTGGCGGTTTGCTTTTGTAAATTATGACCAACATTAAAGGTTATCCCCTGAACAGCTGTTCCTTGGCTATTTCCACCAGGCTGACTCCCACTGGAGTAAACAATGATATTTTTCTGAACCTGGTCACTTGGAATAACAACAGATACCTTTGAGTTTTTAAGGTTTCCTTTCCAGTGGATTGTGGGGTCATCATATAAGCATATGTCATTTGCTTTCAGTAATTCAATATATCGGCCATTTTCTTTTTGGATTTCTTCCAGTTGTTTCCGTAGCTTTTTAATTTCTTCAGCTACAACATTAAAAATTAAAAGTTAAAAACACAGATGCACGTCAATATAAATTGAAAAAAAGCTATGTACTAAACTACTGATTCTAATTCTAGCATTCTAAACACTTCAATTGAGAATCTTTAGAACTTTGCTAATACAAGTTTTTTTCTTCTTTTTAGAATGTTATTTCAAACACCTATCTCATCCTTTTAAATGTATATATCTTTAAAAGTCATCCACTAGGAAATCATTCACAATGTAGAAATCTCAAAATTCCCAACTGAAAAATTTCTGATAGTGCAGCTACACAGGTGAAGCAAGGAAAGACATACTGACATCATGGTAACATACTAGGAAAATAACACTGAATATCCCACTGAATAATGCCTCTTAACTGCTAAAACAGCAAACATGACTTGTGGTAGAAATAGACTATCTCATAAATGGCTTTAGTCTTTATTTTACCCTTTAAAACAATGCAGACTGAAAGGAATGTGAATATGTCAACTGTTAAGTTGGTGAAGCACCAAAGAGAATACTGGTAATGGGATCTGCAATTTCTCTTGTTAGGGCCAAGGCTGAAGGTCTGCCACAGACCTCTCCTTTCTAAGGGAGATAGCTTCATCCACAGTTTTATCATGGGGGCATCTTTGGCTAATGAAATTTATGCTTTGCGACCCCTTCCATCCTCATCTGCCTGGCCATAATGGTAGGTATTTTCATCCCTACCCCATCAAAGGCAGCCAATTCTCAAGGCTAATGGACTGTGCGGTAGCCTGAAATGAAAAGCTCCATTTCAACAAGGATGAACTGAGACTAGCAGATCATTTGTCTCAGATTTTTAAATAAAGAGACAAAAGAAATATGCCAGTGTACCATGGATATTAAAATTAAAGTTCAATCATTACGAACCAAAAAATAATGATCTTTGCTGTCACTGAACATTTACTTACTGGTACTTTTCATTCGTTGTCTCATTTAATGATAATGATGACAGCTAACATTTATCAAGTATTTACTGTGCGCTAGGCTTTAGTTTAAAGGCTTTTACCTGTACCTCTTTTAATCTTCATAAGAACTACAAGATGGTAGCTATCTATTATTATCATCATCTTCAGATGCAAGAAATGGGCTGAGAGTAGATATGTAATTTGCCTAAAATCAACCAGGTAGATACTATAATTATCTGTATTTGAAGACAGGGAAACTTGAGGCATAGAGAGGTTAAGTAACTGTCCAAAGGTTACTTAGTGCAAAAATGAAGCTAAGACTCAAGTACAGGTGGTCCAAGGGCACTACTCTGACCTTGAGTGGGACTATCACGTGGAAAGAGGAAGAACTCACTGGGATACAAAAAGAGAATAGAGCAAGATACACAAAAAGAAGCAGAGACACAATAATCATGACAGAGATGACAATGTAGCCAAACTTTTTTTTGTGTGTGTGCCGGGGATCAAACTCAGGACCTTGCGCTTGCGAGGCAGGCGCCGGAACCACTGAGCTAAATCCCCGGCCCAATGTAGCCAAACTTAAACGCTGCTTCAGGTGCTAGCCCCAACCCCTGGCCTAGCTACTAAGTTATTCCTAAGTCTCACACACCTGGTGTTTTTGCAATACCTTCCATTTTCCCTAAATAACTTGATCACCTTAGTCTCTGTGCTTTGAACTCAAAAGACCCTTCATTTGAAAACTCTGACCTTGTCTCTTTTGTGGAGTGTCTCACAATGGCTACCAAACACATAATTCTTGTATGTATCTGGCAGCTTATATGTAAGGGCCTGTGCCTTAAAACACAGCTGCCCTAGAGAAGGGTAAGTTGTTACTTAACTACAGGGAACAGAGAACTCTGAATGCTGACCTTCTAGATATGCTTTCAAGTATCCTTCCCATCTATTACAATAAACACATCCCAGCTCTGTCCCTACCTTAGTGAGTTCTGCCTCGTTTCTCTCCTTTTAAGGTGGCCTCCTCAGTTGTCATAAGAAATTCTCTTTCTGCTCTTGTCAGAGCCATAAATAAAAGACAATTCAAACTGCTCCACCATCCTCAGCTTTATACTTGCCTGGAATACTTTTCTTTTCAGTGTCTTTACAATGCTAGTAGAAAACCAGAACTCATTTAACAGCATAAAAGCCACCTCTATCTACAAATCAAATATTAAATAAACAGGCAGTCTGACGCACACACCAGATCAATGTAAACAATTGTGAAATAAACATTTTTGGCCTTCTGGGTTATTGGTAGGTACAGACCTATCTCACTTTTAAATTATATTGAATACTCTTGCCTACACCCTCTTATGGGATTTTCCTAGCTGTAAGATCCAACTGGAATAAAGAGATTTAGTATTATTAGTATCATGAGTTAGGCATGCATGAAGTACACAAAAGCTTCAAAGTCGAAATTATGAATGTAGTTGCTCTCGGAGGGCAGAAAAGAGTTAAACTACAATGATTTTATTTGTAGCACTATTCTCCCAGATCCTTTGAATGTAGGGCCTTAGTAATGTCTTTTTGGGGAAAACCTACTAGCTCCTAAAATACATTGTGCTAGGGCCGGGGATTTAGCTCAGTGGTTCCACCGCCTGACTCGCAAGCACAAAGACCTGAGTTCGATCCCCGGTACCAAAAAAACCCAAAAAAACAAAACATTGTGCTATTACACAAGGTCTACACACTTAACAAATAACAAAAAGTATGAATCTCAAAATGTCTTTACCTTGCTCATTGTTTCCTCCATTCAACAGGAGTTCGTCATTTTGCCTTTTCAATTCTGTTATATATTTAAAGGCTTGGTCCAGGATCATATTCTTGCTCTGCCATAGAAAATCATTTACAAGTTTCATTGAAGGGTAAGAACTTGCTAGAAGAAACTTAAAAGCTTTGGGTTTATCACATATCTGTGATATGCAACTTTTCGAAGTTCAAACTATGCACTATATTCAAAAGCTTCTACTGTTCATTTTCCATTTACTAAATACCTGTCGGGCATTTACTACGTCAGGCTCTGTTCGAGGCACTGGGATATAGTAGTAAATCAGACCAAGTACAGGTTCTTGAAGAATAGAAATATACCTGTATATGTAAAATAATTAATGATAAGATTACACACACAAACACACACACACACACACAAACTAGTATAAAGAAAAATAAGCCAGGGTAAAGAGGTGGATAAAGTGACGGTGGAGCTTACTTTGCACTATGAACTACTTGTGCCCCCACCAAATTTGTATGCCTAAATCCTAATCCCCAATGTAACAGCATTTGGAGTTGGGACCACTGAGGGGTCAAAACATCTTGAGGGTGTAGCCCTCACAAATTGGATTAGTGGCTTTCTAAGAAGAGACGGAGACAAATGATCTCACTCTCCAGCAGGTGAGGACATAACCAGGAACCTAGTCTTGATCCTGGACTTCCTAGACCCCAGAAATGTGAGAAATAAATTTTTGCTGTTCACGTCCCTCACTTGGTGGTGTTTTGGCTCTCATGGCCTGAACTAGGACACGCTACTAGAACGTTTTAGTATAGAGATCTCTGGGAAGGCCTCTGTGTAAGGTGATACCTGAGCAAGAAACTAAAGGATGAAAAATGGTCACAGACTGCTTATATCTTGAGGAAGAAGGTGGAGGTAGCAAGATCAGAAGGCAAAGGCCTTCAGCCAGGGCTGGACCTGGCAGTATGAGGAGGTGAGCAGGAGGGCTAGTGATGGATATCAGAAAGAGTGCAAGAGAAGAGGCCAGAGGGGGCCTTCGAGAGCATGTAAACATTTTACATTTTAATGCTATCCTCTACTTGTTAACCAAAACCATAAATTATCTTATAAAAGTTGAGAAAGAAATGTCACTTGATTGAGTTTTGGTGTCATGCCCAGTATATTCCATTTCTAAACTTCTTAAAAAAGATTGTATTTTATGTCAAGGCATGCCTTTATTCTTAATAGATCATTTTAAAAATTGAAATTATATGACATAAAAATAAGTAATATGAAGGATTATATACCAAAAGGTAAAATTCCTTTGTGCTTTAACTGTCTAGATCCTGTTCCAAGGTGATACCCTGAGGTTACTTGTATATCCTTCCAGAAATATTGTAGGCTGATATAAACCTATATATATATATATCTTTTTCAAAAACCTAAGTAGAGGATACTATAAATAACATGTTGTACTTTTTTTTTTAATTTAAAGATTAATAGACACTTTCATGCAGTATATAGAAGCCTATCGTATTCCTTTGAATGGCTATATTTACTTACTTACCAATCTATTGCTGGTAAACATTTGAGCTACTTAATATCTGCCTCTGGTTTTGTCTTTGGCTATTAAACATGTGGCAATGAATATTTATCTTCTCCTTCATCATGTATATTATTAAATAACTCCAGTACTTTATGTATATCTCATTTCATGTGGGAATCACTATAATTTAACGCTTTGAAAGAACCTGATAATACCCACTTGTCTCCTGCAGACAGGAGCTAGAACGTATAACAATAGTGAAGAAAAACTTTAAAACTGTTCTGCTTCTGGAAGCCAAATACTAACTTCCTGTGCACATTCTAGGACACCAAAGAAGTAAAATGGTTATGGTTTCATGGCTTCATAAAGATTTGGAGGAATGAATGCCAAGAACAGGAAAATAAAATTTTACTGGGGAACCTCCAATATTTACTAAGCAGTTACTATACATTATGATGTGGAAAAACAAAAGCCAGAATACTTTTATGGAAGTTAAGTCCATCCTGTAGGGGGAAATGAAATGAAGCTGAAATCTAAGTCCCTGCTAGGAAAGACAATGTTGAGAGGCAAGCTGTGTTGGCCATCCAAACTCCTAGGAAATTTCATAACTGAGAAGCATCAGCTACTACAGAAGGGAAGGTGAAGTACAGGGTTAAAACTGAGGGGACAAAAAAAAAAAAAGGACCCCGGCCCTGGCTTAGGCCACAGGCTACTAGCAAATAAATTGGTATTTCCTTTCTACGATTTTTTTTTTTTGGTACCAGGGATCAAACTCGGGTCCTTGCACTTGCGCAGCAGCCGGCAAAACCACTGAGCTAAATCCCCAGCTCTCCTTCCATGATTTTTATTCCCAGGTAAAATACTGGTAGATTCTTTCTTGAGTATATGTGTACTA